TGGCCCAAGTCCTCCTGCAAGCCAAAAGTCGATCCCTCCAGGGGCCACTTGCTCGTCCGAACAAGTTCTGGCACCCACTGAACTCTGCAATTTCTTCAGCAATAAACAGAGCGCAACAGGAAGTCGTGTATTCCGGCGAAACATCTGGGCCCACAGTATTCTGCTCAAAATCGAAAGTCTTGAGTTTCACTTCGTTTGCGTTCTCAGACTCCATACTCCCTAGAGACTGCCCAGCACCTGCTTCCACGTCAACGACTGCCATCAAAGAGCCCAGCACAAGGTACACACAAGTTACCATTTGCAAGTCTCTGCTCACATAAAAGGACTGCCCAGTCAAAACCTGAGCCACAATGGCTACGGAATAGTCTGGTGTCCCTGGGCTGTATCCGCCACCGTGCCGCCTGGCACGTTGAGGCGTGCTAGAATGCCAAGTGCTGTCTGGTGGGGGTTCTCCAGGAGGCCCCAAGATGCCTCCAAGAAGCCCCAAGAGGCTCCCACCATGCTCCCCAAGAGGCCCCCGAGAAGCCCCCAGAAGCCCCAAGCGGCTCCCAAAAGGCTCCCAGACGGCATGGAGGAGGCCTCAAAACTGCCTCCAAGAGGCCCCCGAAAGGCCTCCCACGATGTCCCGACGACCATCATCATCATCATCATCATCCTCATCATCATCATCATCATTATTACCGTCGTCATCATCACCACCACCACCATCATCATCATCATCGTCATCAGCATCATCATCACCAACATCATTATCATCATCATCATCATCATCGTCAACATCGTCATCATCATCACCATCATCATGATCAGCATCGTCATCAGCATCATCAGTATCATCATCGTCATCATCATCAACATCATCATCCTCGTAGTCGTTATCGTCATCGTCATCGTCATCATCATCGTCACCATCATCGTCGTCAGTATAATCATCGTCGCCATCAACATCATCACCTGCATCATCCTCAACACCATCATCATCATAATTATCAGCATCGTCGTCATCATCATCATTATCACCCGCATCATCATCATCATCATCACCACGGTGGCGGAAATTGCCGCAGGCAGCTGAATCTGTACAAGTGCATTAACAGAACCATGGCTGGGTGGGCTACGCTGGGGATGGCCTCCACGACGTAAGAGATTGCATTCCAGCGTGCTAAGATGGTCCAGTTTGGCCTCCAGGACGGCCAGCATGCCGTCGAAGACTGCCAGGGCGGCCCTGCATGGCCCCCGAGGCGACCGAATATGCCCTCCAAGACGGCCAAGACCGCCCGAAAAAAGGAGTCCAGATGGCCCCAAGTGGCCCCCAAAAGCCCGCAGGAAGCCCCAAAATGCCTCCAAGAAGCCTCCCCCCCCCTCCTTATCATCTCATGTGCCTCTTCGCTATCATCACCATCATCCCCCTCTATCCTGCTCCTCCCCCATCTTCCTCACCCAAGTGTTTCCCCCAAGGGTTTCAACGACGGCTGGGGGAACACCTGGTCCAACACCTGGGCCAAACTTCGCCGTGACGCTTGGCCGCGTCGGCGTTGCCAAAAGCAAAGGGGCGGCGCTGATTCGCCGTAGGCGTCTGACAGAGACCTTCCGAGACCGCCGACGAACTCCCAAGAGACCACCAAGTCCTCCGCCCTGACGTCCCCAAGAAGACCCCTACGGGCCCCAAGAGACCTGCAACATGCTTCCAAGAGGCCCCCGAGAGGCCTCTCAGGAGAGCCCAGCACGCCTCCAAGCGTCCGCAGCCTTTCTGGAGCCTCCCTCTTGACCCCCCTTTCAGGGTGGACGGAGACCGCGACCGCGACGACGACGACGACCACGACGACGACGACGACGACAACGACGACGACCACGACCACGACGACCACGACGGGACGACGACGACGACGACGACGACGACGACGACGACGACGACGACGGGAACGGGAACGGGAACGGAACGGGAACGGGAACGGGAACGGGAACGGGAACGGACCCCTGGGGCGTTCTCTTTTTTTCACGGGCCCCCCCCCGGTTCGAAAGGCGTCGCCGAACGGCAAGCGCCAGTGAAACGCGCTCCCCCCGAGATCGGCACCCCTGAACAAATGACAAACAATTGTTTCGAAACTCGTTTTTTTCCAGAAATGTCTGCGCGCGTGCGTGTTTGTTAGATCTTACAAAGTCCATCGGTGTTTAACACATTCACTTGATGCGACCAAGCGGGTCTCTCGCGCGCGCATGTCGAAATCATTCGAAAGCCGCTTGCGAGCCTGCTGGCGAGGTACGATCTCCGTCGAACTTTACCACGCGGGCCAGTCGCGCGAGCGGGCCGCGTGCGCATGTCGAACTCTTTCAAAAACCTGCATCGCCGACGCGACGACATCGTCATCGTTCTCGGCGTAGTCAGCATCAGCGCCATAATTGGCTTTTCTGTCGTCATAACCATCATCGCGACCAGGGCCGATAGCTGCTACTACTTCATCGTGTCTGCCGTTGTCATTGTGGTCATGCCGATTCGCAATTCGCGCTGAAGTGCCCGCGCGCCAGCGCGGCCTGCGAGACGCATTGGGGAAACCCCTGCCGTCAGTGCCACTGTGGCTGCGTCGGTCGCGACAAACCAGCTGGCCGCTGCCCGCATGAGCCTGCGCGCGCTAGCGCGGCTGCAGCGATGCGCCAGCCAACGCCAGGCAGTCATCGCAATCGCCGCAGCATGGATTTTGAAAACAAGGTTGCGGGAGGGTGGCTGGGTGGGGTAGTTGCGCGGGAACTGCGAACAAACAAACCATTTGTAATTGAGTTTACATATGATTATGCCCCATCGTCCATCCTAAATATAAATTCAGCCAGTCCAAGCATGGCCGGTATCGTCCCCCTCCCATCCTTTGCGACAAATGCTATGCGCGGACATGAATTTATCAAATGCCAGCGGTTCCCGATAGTTCCTTGCAGCCGATGGGACAGAATTCTCATACCATGTGATCCAAAAGGACATTTTTTTTCGCGTTCGCGTGTCCAAATCGTTCGAACGCCTTTGCGCGCGTGCTGTCGCAAGAATCCCGTGCAACAGATGGGACGAAGTGCACGCGCGCGCGTCGTCGCGCGCGCATGCCGTCATTCTTCAACAACGTGAGGTGTTGTACGGATTTTGTTGGGGATAAAAACGAACGTCCCGAAACCATATCACAACGCATGGTTCGGCATCACCAGTTTTCAAACACATCCCGCGCTCGCGGTCTTGCGTTTTTGGTGCTTTAGGTATAACCCAACAATTTGTTTTGCCACATATTCACCACATCCTGCCAAACGGGCCTCTCGCGCCGCATGTCGAACTCATTCGAGCGCCCTTGCGCGCGTGCGGGGGGGCGGGCACGATATGTTTCGAATCATACCACGTGGGCCATTTGCGCGCGTCGGCCGCGCGCGCATGTCGAACTCTTGCAAAAACATTCATCGCCGACGCGAGGACATCGTCATCGTCATCGGCCCTGTGATCAACATCGGCGCCGCTTTGCCGTCGTCATCGCCACCATCGTCACCATCATCGCTACTCCCATAATCGTGACTACCGTTGTTGGAGTCGCCGTGACACCGCGCCCGCCCAAATCACCGATTCGCAGTGAAATGCCTTGTGGGACGTGCCCAGTGGTCAGCGCCACCGCGGCCGCGCCAGTCGCGCCAGAGTAGCTGGACGCTGCGCGCGCGAGCTTGTGCGAGCTAGCGCGGCCGCAAAGAAGCACCAACCAGCGCCAAACGCTCATCGCAATCGCCGCCGCATGAGTTTTGCAAGCCAAGTTGCGTGTGGGTGGGTGGGGTGCCTGCAAGGGCTTGGAAGTTGCCAACTCATTTGTAGGAGCGAATTGCACCACGTATATTGCACCACGTAGGTCGAACCACACACGTTTTTGTACACCTATTGGCCACATGTAGTGCATGCCGTATGTTGCAGCACATACGTTTCACACTATGTATTTATATGTGTACATATACGTGCATTGCATCGCGTAGGTTGCAAACTACATAATGCACCACGCATATTGCATCACATCCTTCTTGCCGCGTTGACTACGCAACCCATTCAGCATAAAAGCATGGTTCGGGCTCCACGCTGGCTCACATTATTCAAAGTCGCCCATTTTTGCCGCGCCCCGAAACCTGCCGGTAAGGCGGCCTGGGCGTTTAGCCGATGTTTACCTCGCACATTCGGACCCCAGAGTTTACAACAGGCAAGAGGATCTCGCGCATGGAGGGTGGCTGCTTTTTGGAAAAAAGGCGGCTCTCGCTCCAGAACCGTGCACATTCTTTGCTGGAGAAAATTTAGCTGAAGGAGGGCGGCTCCTTTTAAAAATGTCGTCCTCGTTTCGTTCCGCGTGCAGTCGTCCAAACTTCGCATGGGCTTCGCAGAGGTAGGGCGGCTCAAACTGTGGTTGTCGCTGTCGATGCGCACGTTTTTATACATTTCAGTCGGGTTTCACATTCGAGCAGCTGCCATCCCAGGAATGGTGTTCTGGCACGATTCAGGAGTGTCAAGGCGCAGCCGTTACATAGACTGCGGTGTTCTAGTTCCAAGAACGGCGTTTGGGCACGATTCAGGGTAGTCAGGACCCCATAGCGAAGCTGATTCACGGCATTGAAGTCCAAGGAGTGGTGCTTTGAGGCGATTTTGGATTCTCACACGGTTGTCCTCCAACGGGGCATTTCCCGCAGTGAAATAATTTGTTGTAGGTATCTATTCAGAAGGAACTTGGAGAGGGTTTAAAGCAACATCGGTGGGGCATCTTGGGTATACTGGTCCTCCTCCTCCTCGTTCTTTTCCTGTCCTCCTCCTCCTCTTCCTCCTCGTCTTCCTCCTCCCTTTCCTCCTCCGTTTCCTCGTTTGCTTCTTCCTCTTCCCACCCCGCCTCCTCTTCCTCCTCCCCCTCTTTCTTTTTCTTCTCTTCCTCTTTCGCGCCCCCCTCTCCCTTTCCCACCCCCGCGCCCCCCTCCCCCCCCCTCCCCCGACGACGGTCCGGGCTGCCCGCCAGGGCCCCGTGTCCGCGCACGGCCCCCCCAAGTTCCACCTGCCGGAGGCCCGTCCGGCCAGGGGTGCGCCAGGCGTGGTGAGGCTTCCGGTTGCGCGCACTTAGCCCTCCCGGGTGTTGCCAGCAGGTGGCCTCAACAGGCTCCCCGAATAGGCCCAGCTGGCCTCAGCAGGCGTAGTCGAGGGCTGTTTCAACACCCTGGCGCCGCGTCCGGCGGTCTCGGCTGGGGCGTTCCGCGCCCCAGCCGAGACCGCCCCAGATTGCCGGGGTCAGCTGAGGCTAACCGGGGCTGCCCAGGCGGCCTGGTGAGGGCAGCTGATACTACCAGGGGGGCTGTCGGTGCGCAACCTGGAGCCTTACCACCCGCCGCGCCAGGTGGCTCACGACCTCTTTCCTCTACACCTGTAGAAGTCTTGGAGAGTGAGTCTGCTAAAACGTGTCCTGATGTGTTTTGGTTGTCATTGGTGTTCTTCCAATGCACTGCATTGTTGTGTGATCGTATGTTTGTAAGTAACTGATTTCACCGTGTTGGTCTACATGCAAACGTCTAAGTAGATGGGCAGATACATAGACCTATAGCACAGCGCAATGATAATCCACACGCACATACGCACACACATACACTTACTATACATATATATATGTATATAGATTATACATACATGCACACATATATATATGGCTACGAGCGGTACATATATATATATATATATATATATATATATATGTATATGTATGTATGCATACATACATATATATATACAAACATATATACATATACACATACAACCATAACAGGGGGCAGGCTCATTCCCCCTGTAGCGGTGCCGGGTTTCCAGGAGCCCTCTTCCCCGCTCCAGGACGATTCAGATGCCCTCCAAGGGCTAAGATGGCTCAAGATGGCCTCAGGTATGCCTCCAACACCGCCAAGAAGCCCCCAAAATGTCCCGAGAGGCCCCCCAGAAACCTCCCAAGAGGGCCCGAAGAGGCAGACATGTTCCCATTCTCTTCACACGACGTCTTTCTTTATCACAGTCGCCTCTTGGGCTTTCACAGCGCGACGATCAGTCTCTGCCAGTGCCTGCCCCAGGGGCCCCGACCGCTTCTCCAGGGACAGCTCGTCGCCCGTGCTCCCCCCGCCTCTGTCGGTCCCGCGGCCCGAGGAGGTGCCCCGGGGACCGCACGGGCGGACAGAAGCCGTGCACGTCAGAGGGCCTCGCGCGACGGCGAGGCTGCACCAGGCCTCCGACCGCTGGGCGCGGAGTCCGCGGGGGGGCGAGGATGCAGAGGCGGGGCCTCCACCACCGGGCCCTGGGGGCAACGACTGCACGGCCCCAGAGGCCAGGAGACAAAACGAACGCCCAAATTAAGCACGTCAGAGGTTTGTTATCAATATAGCAAAGCGGAGATGATTGGGTGACACCGCGAGTGTGACAACGGGGGAGGAAGAGGAGGAGGAGGAGGAGGAGGAGGAGGAGGAGGAGGAGGAGGAGGAGGAGGAGGAGGAAAGCAGAGAAACACGTCCCCTATCTAGGGGGCAAAAACTGAATGACCCCAGAGGCCAGGAGACAGGACAAGCGCCCAGATGAAGCACGTCACATCGTCTTGGGCGTCGCGCGATGGGGGGCGCTGATCGGGGGGGGGGGCCGCGAGGGCTGCAGACACGGGGCCCTCTAGGGCCCTTGAATGGGCCCGTTGAGGCCCCGAAGGGGCCTACAAGGAGCCCTTTCGGGCCCCACAGGGGGCCTTGATGGCCCGAAAGGGACTCCTTTCTCTCCCCCCCCACTGATTATCTCGAAAAAAAGACGGCATAAACGTAAGCGTTTGGTGCTCCGCGCGGGTTTCCTGGATCGCGAATTCGTGGGAGGGCAGCAGCGCTTTTAATCAGAGATGTGGCCCACGCACAAGCCGGAGCATCACTCCGAGACAATCGCGTCGCCAGAATGCAGGTGTCACGCCCATTCCGCGCGGGCCAGGCTCGGTGTCACCGAGGTCAGGGCTACGTTAGGTGGGTAGTCTACGTCAGGGAGAGGTGCAACAGGAGAACAAAAAAAACACGCCATAAGCATAAACTTGAGGCCCCGCCTCTGCATCCTTGCCCCCCCGCGGACTCCGCGCCCAGTGGTCGGAGGCCTGGTGCAGCCTCGCCGTCGCGCGAGGCCCTCTGACGTGCACGGCTTCTGTCCGCACGAAAACCCAGAAATATAGGAAAAGTATGGGGGATATTTTGTTTTGTGTGTATTTATTTGTGTGTCCTAGGCCCCCTTCAGTCGAGTGCGATGGCTCCCGATCCCGATCCGAGTCGGCTTCGGACTCCGACGTGGGGCTCCGATTTGCTGAGTGGAGACCTGCTGGCCTGCCGATGTCCGCCGATTCGGCTTTTCCCGACTCGGCTGCGGATTTCCGCCGATCCGATTCATCTCGGCTGCAGATCCAGCTTATCGATTGGATTCTGGGCTCTCCTGCCAGTGGGCCCCCCGGGAGGTTCAAGATGTCGCGAGAAGCGTCGGAGGTTGCTAAGGCCAGGGATATACCTCTGGCAGCCCCCGAGGTTGGATCCTCTTCTGTGCTGCGTCGCCACTGTCACGACTGTCGTCTTTCATTTCCCTCGGGTCGGCGTCGTCGTCACCTCCCCTTGTCTCGCATGTTCAGAACCCGTTTGCCGCGCTGCCGGTGTACCACTTCGAAGTTTACGTCCTCCTCCCTCATCTGCTTCTTCTCGCCCTCCTCTTCCTCGTCACCCGTCCCCCTTTCCTTGATCCTGGTTCCCCTCTCTCCAATCCCCCTCCCCTCAGTCCCTATCTGTTCTCAATCCTGTTCCCTTCCTTCCCCATCCTGGTCTCGATCCTCCTCATTATTCCGCTGCTCCCCCATCCTCCTCCTCCTCCTCCTTTTCCTCCTGCTGCTGCTGCTGCTCCTCCTCCTCCTCCTCCTTCTCCTCTTCCTCCTTCGCAAGAAGGTCGGGGAGGCCGCGGATAACGCGGAGGACACCCTGATGCAGATCGAAGGGGCGCTCAAGTCACGAGACGTTGCTCAGGCGCTGAACCTCATCCTCAAAGGTTTCTGCATGCACTCTCAGCTCTTCGAGTCCTAGCAGCAGCGGCCTGGACGAGCGTGATACTCCCGACCTGCGCCCTGAGTATCGTGGCTTCGAGGGCCGCTGGCAAACTGTACGCGGAGGCGGCTGGAGTCCCCCACGTGAGGGACAACATCAAACCACCTCATTTGCACATAACGCGCGCAGGTCTGAAGTGCTTAGTGGAGTCTGATTCGAGCAAGAAGATTGGAGGGAAAGCCTACGACGTGGTGAACCAGTTCTGCACCAAGTTCATACTGAATGGACAGGTACAGGAGCTAGGGTTATCGATCCGTCACTTTCGCTGCATGAGGTGCTACGGGGAGGCGATGGCCAGGCTGCAGTTCGCCATAGCGGACGGCGTCTCCCTCCCAGACGACATGCAAACGCATGGGAGGCACGCTCAAGGTGGGGACGGTGCCGCGGGGTCACCTAGAGGGTCTCGCGCAGAATATGTTGGACAAACACAACATGGGTGGCAAGAAGGGCAAAGCATCGTGACACGACCCTCGGACGAGGGCTGGATCTCGAGGCCCGCGGCATTGAGAGCTCGAGTCGCGGCAGCTAACTTAGCCAGCAGATTTGTTCCTACACCGTGGTCTCTTTATTTTGCCTGATGAGGAAGGGGGTTCGATAACCCCGACTGCTTCATAGTTTGGCAGCTCGTGTTCACAGACGCGCTCCTGATGATCTCCATGGGTGCAGTTTTCAGTTTCCCACTGGCCTCCTGTTCTCGTCGGGCATGGTCTTGGTGCAGGTCTCGGATGCGTACTCGCTGCTACTCTGCGCCGATCACTGAGTCCTTCGGCCCCGCCTGCCCCGAGCACATGAAGGCAAGACCCGCCTCCCGCATGCTGTGCGCCACTGCGGGCATACATAGTTGCACGCCCACGCTCGTTTTTTCAAGTATTGTTCTTTGGTCAAGGGCTGGGTGGATGCCTCTGGAGCTTGCCTGGCACATGGAGTGCCGCCAGGACTCGGCCCCACGGTGCCAGAGGGGTGCCCCCCCCCAGCCTGCGAGTGACGCGATCGCTGCGCGCAGCCTCATGTCTTGTAGATCGAGTGGTGCACGGCGCGCGTAGCTCGGAACCTCACCTAGTATATGTGCGATTGTAGTTGCACGAATGATTTTTCGAGAGTGCAGCTGCATGTCCCCCTTCCCACACACGCGCAAGGCCGAGTCACATCCCATCCTTTGTCTATCCTCCTCCTCCCTTTTCCTGGCGAGCGAGCTTCGGCATGCGCGTGACTTTTCGCGGCTGGGCTCTTTGAGTGGGCCCGGGATGTGGTTTGGAGGCAAGCTGTGAAAGCGGATACGTCCACGCTCAATAAAGAAGAGGCGGCCACCACATTGCTCGATCTGTAGACATAAGGAGAAGCCATTCGCGTGTTTTTTTGGGTGCCGTCAGATGCAGTTTCCCTTGGCTGTGGCGAGGCTGGCGACTAACATGTGCTTGTATTCGCGTTTCTTTACCCTACTGGTCCCTAGTGGGCCATGGGAGGCATCATCGCGGGTTGTGTGTTTTTGAGCGTCCGTCATTCGGGTGTACGCGATCCAGGACTTGTATCGAACCCAGCTTCTGCCAACTGCATTCCGAACTCTGCATGGACGATTCGAGTTTGGGTGCCACGGCCGCCCAGGATTGCATTGTGCATCGCCGTCCGCAGGCGGCCAGGCTGCCTTTCCCGGTCTTGGAGGAATGCGTGGGGGCTCAGGTTTGCGCGGGTGTAGGTGCGCGGTCGTTCACTTGTTCGTCGATTTGTCAGTTCTGCTCCCAAGCCCGGACTGGATGACTGCGCAGGTCGCACCCGGAGAACCAAGGGGAGGAATTCAAAACGCAACTAGAGGGAACGAAAGACCACGGCCTTTCTGGGGCGCCTGGGGAAGCTCAAACCTACGGTGGGTGGTAGGCTTTCCAGGGGAATTTTCTCAGCGGTTGTCTTGACGTCCGAGGTTTTCGGTTTTGAGTTGCACGGTGTTCGTAGATTCTTTCGTTTAGCGTACCGCCGTCAAGCGGCTTCTGTTCGTCAGTCCTCAGCGAAAGCCGCCCCCTGACGGCACTCCTGCTCGCGCATTGGGGCCCAGGTTGGTACGCGGCGGTGTCCCCCATCTGCAGGGGCTCCCAGGGAGTTCCGAAATGCATGGTCTGTTGGCTTTTCGGGTGGGTCGCCTCTCTGGCGTAGTGTGTCGGGGGCAGTCTCCGCATTCAGAAAATCGTGCGTATGCATCTCCTGGACCATGCCCTCCTCCGGCTTCCTGGATGCAGACGTAGGCGCGGCGTTCAATCTCGCGGAGTTCCCCCTCGAACTCTTTCGGTCGTTGTGGTGGAAGGATGCTCTGAGGGGCTTGAACGGGATATGGGCGCTCGACTCAACGTGATTTCCGAGGTTTGCGTCGAACCTGTGCTTCGCTACTTGCAGTGTTCTAAACCGGCTCCTTACCGGGGGGGGGGGGGGTCCCTGAATACCCAGTGCTGCATCGATATGTGTATATCTGCATGTCTCGGTTTGCATGTATATATAAAACATATCAAGTGTATGTGTTTATACCATCACATGTACACACATACGTGCATGCATGCTCATAAATACATGTGCACACCATGCCGCGTGCGGCCAGGCTAGTCTACGTCCAGCCGTCGTCGGAATTCTGGAAGTGTGGATGTCCCCTGGGTTGCCTGAGACATCGCATATTGGACATGCAGGGTCCTGAGGTGGTCGAGCAAAGGAATTACTTAGCCACGCAGCGCATCCAACCCTGGACAGCTGAGGTTGGCGACGATCTCGCTTGTTCTGGTGCCTTTGACCACCCTGTCGACTGTTTCCCGCTGCCGCTCAAGGAAGGCGGCGCACTCGCCGATTGGGATGAGGAGGAGGAGGCGGAGGAGGAGGAGGAGGAGGAGGAGGAGGAGACGAAGAGGTGACGAAGGGGATTAAAGGATGGGGGCTTAAGCTTTTGAGGGCGACTCGGGACCTTCGCGCCGATTTTTCCATCAAAAAACGACGGTGGAGCTCGGGGATCCAAAGAAAAAGGATCAGTTCCATCCAGCCCCGAGCCAAGCGTTTCCGTGGGCTGAGGTCTTCTTTCCGCGGGGCCTCTAGAGTCGTCAAGGCCGGAGGTGTGCCCGCGATCATGTACGGCAGTGCTGTTGTGGGCATCGCGGATGCGAGGCTTCGCCAGGTTCGTTCCTTGCTAGGGCAAGCTATGTTTGGCTCCCAGAGGTCGGTCGCGGACGGTGGAGTTTCAGATAGGGGGGGGGGGGGGCGAAGGCTGACCCCACCTTTGCGGCTAACGCCGCCCCCCTTCTCATGTGGGGCCAGGCCTTGCGCGGGGACTGGCCCCCGCCCGCCCGGATGAAGAAGAGTTTCGATGCCCCCCTCAACTCTCTTGGGTTTGGATGGGGGCACGTCGCTGGGCCTGCGGGCGCGGTGCTTTGCACTCTCCGTCGCCTCGGTTGGACGATTCGGGGGTATCGAGACTGGATCGCGGCTCGAGGAATCCCGATCGACCCAGGAGCGGTTGGCAAAATAACGCTTAAAGTCGTCATCGAACAAGACACCCAGCGGCATCTTGTCATATCCATCGCTGACAAGGTTGAAGGCCTTTCCGCTGGGCCCCTCTTGGGGCCGATCGTGCAGAAACTTCAGAAGGTTCGAGCTGCGGGCCGTGGCTTGGGATCTGCGATGGTCTCAGGAGTGATGGCGGGGGGCTATGCGACGCAGCAGTGCTTGCATGTCGGACGCCGCGTCCTGTGCCCTCTCTATAAGTGGTGCGGCGCTACGGCTGGCACCCCGAAGCATAGGTTTTTTGGCTGTGAAGACAGCCGATCGATCCGTGAAAACCTCGACCTCCCTGACTTCCTCGCCCTTGGCCTGTCCAGAGGCGAAGAGGGCCCAGGCGCGACCCGAGTCCTTTTCCCCAGTCCCGAGTGGAACTGGCCCCACCCCGCGGGTGGACCCAGGGTTCATCTGGATGGTCCATCCCCCCTCGGGCACCTTTGACACGGGGGTGGTGTGTCTCGATGGGTCCGCGGTGGGTCCTGACCTTGACCTCTTCGCTCGGGCGGGGTGGGCTGCGGTCGCGGTCGACGTCGGGGGGAACGTGGTTTGATCTATATACGGTCATCTCCCCCACCCGCTCCAATGGGCGGGAGGGGGAGAGGTTTATTCTTTTCTCATGGCGCTTAGGCAGCTGGGAGTGTGCGAAACCGATTGCCAGATGGTCCACGACATCTGGGGCCTTGGCCCCGACCATGACCTCACAAATGTGGCCTTCAGCGAGATTTGGTGTGACATTTTCGCTAGGGCTAGGGATGTGGGGCTGCGCAACATCCGCGTGGGCAAAATCAAGAGCCACCTGTCTCGGGGGCAGGCGGTTGATCGGGGAGTTCTGTACTGGGCTTGGGCTGGGAATCGAGATGCGGATCGCCTCGCGGGGCTAGGGGCCGAGCTGCAGCCCCACAACCCTGAGACCCGACGGCAGATGGCCGTGCAGGCTACCCTGGTCCAGGCTGGCGTGTGCCTCATACACGAGACGATGAGGCATCTCTCCAAGCTCGGCCTCCCTGATGTTGAGAAGGTCCGAGCGAAGTTGAAGCGTCAGCCGAACCACCTCGAGTTTGTGCCAGATGCCCTTGGCCACCAACTGATCCGCGCTGACAAAAAAGTAGGCATCAGTGCACCCTCTGCGGAGAGACAGGCAGTAGGGTAGGTATTTGCAAGAATCCGTGCCGAGGCATCCCCAGGGTCGCGAGGGCGGCCCACCCGACCCATCGTTTGTTTCTGGGGAAGGGGGGGGGGGGGGGGGCGCGCGCCGTTTGGCGTGCTCGGTGCGGGGCCTTCGGGGCCTCGCGTTCCCAGTATCTTGTGAGGAAGTGTCTCGAGAGGCCGCGTAATCGTGACGCTGCCGCGAGTTTGAAGAAACTCCGCGGCGGCGTCGACCCAAGCACGGGCCGAGAGTTCGGCCGCAGTATATCACTTTCTGGTTTGTGAGTTTCGCTGCTGCCGCCTGCTGTGGCGGGTCGTGTCGTGCTGCCGTTATCCTCGTCAGCAACTTCAGCGACCGCCCAGCAGGCGCGCCGCAGCCTCCCCTCTTGTGTGTGGCATGTTGCGCTGTCGGTGCGGGATGCTTCATGATGCGCCGAAGGGCGCCGAAGGAGGAGGGGGGGGAGGAGGAGGGCGGTGACTTGGATGTCACACTCGAGCGTGATGCGTTCGCGGGCGGCTCGTGTGCCAGATATTCAGCCGGGGAACTGTATCGTGCTAGGTGGGCCATTGTCTTCGTGATTCGGCAGACGCGGAAAAACGCGGAAAAACGTGCTTGTGCGTGGTCCAGTGTGATCGCCCTGTTCGCAGTCGCCGCAACCCGCAGAATTCCATGCCGTACCAATTGTTGTCTTGTGGGCGACTGGCCAGAGCAGGAATTTCCCCGATCGCCAGAACTTTGATTTTGCCCAGCTCCCTTGGCACGAGCAGCGCTCGGCTAAGAGGATGTATAGTGGATCCGCGCAGCTTTTGAGAGATCAGTGACCTAAAGTCTGCCTGGAAAGGTAGGGGCGCACCTGTCTGTCGAGGAGGCGTGTGATGAAGAAGACCGCCGCAGTCGGCAAGGCCATCGGGTAGTGATTGGGCCGGCAGGGCCGCCAAAAAAACGACGCCCTTGCATTCTGGCTGCCGACGCTGATGTGGTCGAGGGCCTTGATCGTTCCATCGCGGGCGCTCTTGCCGTGGGTCCGAACGCGCCCAAGAGGCCCCCAAGACTGCCCCGAGATGGCCCGAGAGGCCCCAAAGAGGGCCCCGAGGCGGCCCAAAAAGACTACCTAAGAGGTCCCCAGGGCGGCTCGAAGCTGGGCCCCAGAGGGGGAACGCGAACTGACAAACCAAGCCTTCCGCCCCAAGAGGGTTCAGGAGGCCCCCCCGCTCTCCTGAGCACAAGGCCCCGCGGGCGAGGCCCGCGCACCGGTGGGGGGCTGCACCGGCCGATGTTGGCAACGTGTGTGTTTCGTGCCCCTCCGAGGTCGGAGGGGCGCCCGTCTCTCTCGGGCCCCCTTCGGGTGCGCGCTCCGCGGTGCCCTGGCATCGCTCGGGCGTGGTGCATTTTTTTCGGCGAGGACCAGCGAGGACCATCCTGGACCATCGCGCAACAAAAAAGCACGCACGAAACCGAAAACATGCACGGGAGATGGACGTCCGAACGATGGCAGGGGTGCTCATCGAGCTGAGTGTTTCGTTTTGCTGGACTGTCGGGACAGTTATTTTTGTGTGCGTGTGGGTGTGTACCACAATTGCAGTTATATGACGTTTGGGGGGCTGTTGCGCAACCAGGGCAAAAAACGTGTGAACCTGACTCAGGCATGTCGCACAGCAGTCCGTGGAGTAAATTTGTTGAAAACCCCACCCCAAGAAGGTCTGGGTCACGATGGATTCAGATACCCGTTTGCCATCTTTTGTGCGTTCCGCGGTTTGCACAATCTGTGATGCTCACCTCTTTCGTGTCTATGTTTTGCTGTGTGAATGTGGGCAGTGCCGCCAGGGGTCTCTCGTCGTTGCAGCATCGTGTATGTGAATAGAATGTCTTCTTTTTTCGTCTTCCTCATCCGCGCCGTCTTCTCTCCCCTCATAGTCCTTCCCCCCCCTCCGTCCCCCCCCTCCCTTCACCCCCTCCCTCCTCATCCATCCTTCCCCCCCTCTTCATCCCTCCTCCTTCCCATCCCCCCTCCTCTTCCTTCTGCCCCCCCATCTCCCGATTGTCCTCCTCCCCCATCTTGCCCCTCCTCCCCTTTCGCCTCCCGTATCCGTCCCCCCCAGTATTCCCTTCCGACGCCGGTTTCGGCGACGACGACGGCGGCGACGACGCCGGCGACAGCGACTACTGGACCCTGGCGGCCCACAGAGCGGCTCGGTCGACTTCTGGGCGGTGGGCATGGACTGTTGCAACCAGACCAGCGGCGAGTTCTGGTGCGGCCAGGCCCCACCCCTCCCTCCTCCTGTCAACTCCCGCCCCAGACATCTTCGCGTCAGGGAGACATCACGGCGTAAACTTTCTGGCCGCTCCCAGAGCCCCGGGACCGTCAGAGACGACCCGGCATGATGAGCCGTTCCCGGAAGGGGCCTTCTTCCCTCCATGGGTGTACGCCTGGGTGTTGCCAGACGTGTCCCCGGCCCTGGGTGCCCCCAGGATTTCGGGGGAGGCCCAGATGGCACCCAGGGCGCCCCCCCCCCCCACGAGACCCATATATATATATAGAGGGCCGCGGATCCATAGCGTCGCGAAAAGCTGGGGGCATCTAAGGCCAGGATCACTTCTGGCAACGTGGGCAGACCACGGCGTCGGAGGTCCGCGTACTCCCACTCCGCTGGCACCTCTGGCGGGGCGCTCCTTTCGGCGACGAGTGGCGACGAACGACGACGTCGTCAGCGACGACGACGCGTGGCGAGGCCGACGAGCAACGCTGACGGCGATGAGAGGTGACGGCGAGCGGCGACGCGGACGACGACCGACGACGAAGAGCTAAGGCGACTGTATCCGCGACGACGGCGACGACGGCGAAGGCAACGGCGGCGACTACGTGTGACGAGCAGCGACGACGACGTCGACGAATGACGACGACGGGTGGTGGAGGGCGACAAGCGACGACGACCACGACGACGAGTGACGACGAGTGACGACAGCGCGGACAGCGAGTGGCGGGGACGACGACGGGTGACTGAACAACGATGACGACAACGACGAGAGACTAAGATGGGTGTCGACGTTAAAGGACGAACGGCGACGACGATTGACGACGACGGCGAGTGACGACGACGACCACGAACGACGTCTATCAGAGGAGTCGCGACGACGAGACTAAAGGACGATTGAAGATGACGACCACTGACGATCAAGAGTGACGACGACGGGTTACGACCGACGTAGAGTAACGACGATGACGGCGACGATGGCGAGCGACGATGACGACTACGATTTGACATGGCACGGACGCCAATGACGACGAGTAATGACGACGTGGATGACAACGACGACGTCGATGACGAGGACTACTCACAAGTGACATCCAGTGACGACGACGGCGGCGAGAGCGACGACGACGAGACTTGACGACAACCAGCGACCGAGACGTGCGACTGCAGACGCTCCACAATCAACATTCTCTTGTAGCAGCCTCTACAAAAGGATTCCTTGTGCGGCGACCTTACAAAAGGATTTTAGGTGCGGGGGATCTGCAGTGGCCTCCATAATTAGAACCCTCTCATGGCAGCCTGTACAGCATGTATTCCTTTTGTGGCGGCCTTACATAAGGATTTTCATTGTGGGGGGTCTGCGGTGGCGGCTCCTAGAGCCCAGGAAAGCAAGCAAGGAAAACATGGAAAACTGGACAACCAGGACAGAACCTGTGTATTCAGATAGGAAAATAGGAAAAGTGTAGGAAGACTTTTGGCTGTCGGTCTTTTTATGGTGCACACGCTCCACAATTCAAATCATTTTCTAGCAGGCTTGACGAAAGGATTCCTTTTGTGGCGACCTTACCAAAGGACTTTAATTGTGGGGGATCTGCAGTGGCCTTCACAGTCATAATCCTCTCATAGCAGCCAGAACAACATGGATTTCTTTTGTGGCGGCCTTACATAAGGATTTTCATTGTGGGGGGATCTGCAGTGGCGGCACCATGAGCCCAGGAAAGCAAGAGAGGAAAACAGGAAAGACCAGAACACAGGAACGACCTGAAAACATGGAAAAGAGGGCTAGGACGACCTGTGATCGTAGGCGTTTTTTTTACGGCGCAGGACACCCCCGTGGCTGTCGTTATCTTTATGGTGCAGCGCACTCACAGGTCTTCCTTGCTCTTTCCTATGTTTCCCTGTAACTGCACAAGCTTTGTCATTTGTTTCATTCTTTTTTACTGTTTTCCTCTCTAGCTTTCCTGGGCTCAAGGTGCCGCCACCGCAGATCCCCACACACTCAACACCCTTTTGGAAGGGCGCCGTAAAAGGAGCCCGTTTGTACAGGCTGCTAGGAGAGGATTCTGATTGTGGAGGCCACTGCATATCCCCCACGTTTCCTGCTTTTCCTGTTCTCCTTTCTTGCTTTCCTGGGCTCAAGGTGCCGCCACCGCAGATCCCCCCACACTCAAAATCCTGTTGGAAGGGCGCCGCAAAAGGAGCCCCTTTTGTACAGGCTGCTATGAGGGGATTCTAACTGTAGAGGCCACTGCAGACCCTCCACACTTTAAATCCTTGTGTAAGGTCGCCACGCAAGGCATCCTTTGGTCACGTCTGCTGCAAAAGGGTTTAAATTGTGTAGCGCCTGCCCCATTTAAATGCCCACGGCCACACGTCTTCCCAGTTTTTTTTGGTAATTCGCAGAACAACCTGCTTGTTTATGTTTTTCATGGCTTAAGGTGCCGCCACTGCAGATCCTCCCGCAAGTAAAATCCTCTTGTAAGACTGTCACGCAAGGAGTTTCTCCTGTACAGGCTGCTATGAGATGTTTCTAATTGTGTAGGCCACTGCAGATCCTCACAATTCAAATCCTTGAGTGACTTCGCCAAAGCAGGAATCCTTTGGTAAAGGCTGCTGCAAACGGGTTTTAGGTGTGGAGCGTGTGCACCATCAAAATACCGACAGTCACAGGTCTTCCTAGATCATCTTAATTTGCCATGTGAAAGCACAGGCTTTTTCCTGTTGTTTCTTGTTTTCACTTCTTGCTTTCCTGGACTCACGGTGCCGCCACTGCAGATCCCCCCACACTTAGAATCCTTTTGTAAGGCCGCCACACAAGGAATCCATGTTGTAGAGTCTGCTATACGTGGATTCTCATTGTGGAGGCCACTGCAGATCCCCCACAATACAATCTTTTTGTAAGTTCTCTAGAACAATGATTTTAAGTGTGTAGCGTCTGCGCCTTAAACATAACAACAGTCACAGGTCTTCCTAGCTTTATATTTTTTCCTAGTGGAAGCGCTGGCTTTTTCATTGTTGTTTGTATTTTTTGTTTTCCTGGTAAGCCTTGGCGACTCCGCGGCGCTGACTCTGATGAAAACGAAGCCGAGGATGACCAGGAAGCGCAGGATGAGGAGGAGGGGGAGAAGGGGAGGAATGTGGAAGGAGGAATACGATGAGAGACCACAATGGGAAATAACTAGTACAATGGACATGCAGGATGAGTAAGCTGATGGTCAGTAGCGTTCCGATCGCTAGGACACAATAAGTCTTGTTGTGCTCATACAAACAAGCGTTCTCACCGGGGGGCCAGGCAACGAGCAGTACCCGCCAGAGGGTAAGCACAAAATCTACATGCAGATGCGATGCTCAGGCGAGATGACGACGATACCGACGAGTCAACCATAACGCCTTACGGAGGTTTCGCTCCGCGAGCCTTTTGGAAGCCTCTTGGATGCCTCTTGGGGCCATCTTGGCGCCATCTTGGAAGATTAGTGGGCCCTCTTGGGGTCTTCTTGGGGCCCTCTCGGGGCGATCTTAGGCCCCATGTGGCTCAAAAGGGGGGCGGCCTCATTCGCCCGCCTCTCCTCCCCCGCGGAGGCTGAACAACTGGCTCTTGGGGCCCTCTAGGAACGCTCTTAGGACGCTGTAGGGTTCATGGGCTATCTTGGGGACCTCTTGGACCCCTCTTGGGGCTCTCTTAGGCCATTCTGATGCAATCTTAAGGCCTAAGGGGCCCATCGGAAACACACAGGCGAGAATGCATCTGGGGACAATCTGAAGGCCTCAGAGGCCCGCTGGAAGCACAATGGCGAGAATGCAACAATCATTTATTTCCTCTCGGGGGATGCCGTGGCAGGCTCGGAGGGCAATTGGAATTGTCTTAGGGATGTCTTGAATATCTCGGAGGTATGTCAGATGCAATCTCGAGCCATCTTGAAGTATTTTGGGCCATCTTGGAGGCCATCTTGGGCCCTCTTGGGGCCCTACTTTGCCATCTTGGACGCTCCAATCGGCTTCCTCCCCCGTCCACACACAGGGGAAGGGGATTAGGGGAAGGGGTGCCCCCCTCCCCGAATAGGGGAAGGAGGGGGCTTCAGCGAAGGGAGACAAGAGCTTGTTAGACAGCCTCCGCTCCGAGGGCTGGCGGGATGACCTGTGCCCCGTCCTCTGCGAGCTCGGGGGGCGTGCTGCAGGCACGCCCGCCTCCTCTGCGTGGACGGGGGCCCCCATCAGAGTAGTGACCACGCCGTGAGTCAGTGCCTGGCTCGACCTCCGAGGACGGCTCGAGCGACTGGGGCCTCCAGGGTCCCAGAACCGTGCGGTGGCCGACAATCCGGGGAGGTCTTCCGGGACTGCGAGGTCACCGCACGGTCTGCTACCGCACCGTTTGTGGCCTTAAAACGACGCGAAGATCGGAACAAAATCGGGTCGGGATAACTCGAAATCTCTAAGAATCGGCGGGTTTGGAGGATGCACTGGGCGCCGCGGCCGCTCCAGAGCGTTCTCCGGAGCGCTCTGAGAGCGCTCCGGAACGCTCTGGAGCGGTTTATCCCGATCCCAGCCCTGTTTTAGGTCTCGAGATTCTCGTTCGCTCCCCGCGAGGTCAGCAACCCCAGGGCCCGGGCCGGCATGCGGATGCTCCGCGACGACAGCCGGCCCTTCTACGCGCTGGCCGTCCAGGCTCGTGGCACTGCGTCCGCGCGGGCAGTTGTCTGTGCCGCCGCCGCCGCCGCCGTCGTCGTCGTCGTTGTCGTCGTTGTCGTCGTCGTCGTCGGCGTCGCCGTCGGCGTCGTCGTCGTCGTCGTTATCGTCGTCGTCGTCGCTGTCGCCGCCGCCGCCGTCGTCGCCGCGACGAGTGGTGCGGCCGAGCTTGCACTCGGGACTCGCGCGTTCGCCATAGCGCCATAGTCGCCGCGACGAGTGCCGGGCAGAACTGCCGCACGGATACCGCACTCCATGGTGTCGCGGGCCGCGGTTGCAGGATGTGCGCTGTGGAGAGCGTCTACTCCGGACTCCATAATAAAGTCGGGGGGGTCACATTCAGGGGGGGGGGTCTGATTTGAGCTGTCTTGGAGGGTTCGGGGGGGTCTGGGCAAAGGGCCGCTCTTTCGTGGTTTGGGGGGGTCTAAAACTTCTCGTCTGAGAGGGTTGTGACCCCGTCCCCTTTATTACGAAATCTGGAGTAGCAAGAGGTTCATTTCAGGCACAATCGCGGTTTTGCCCGCCTCGGTTTTGATACGCGCGGTGCTCGCTGGAAATGCCGACCCCAGCTGAAATGCCCTTGCGGCGACCAGGGACTTTACCCTCCTCCTGCCTCCTCGCAGTTCCTCACGCTCGTGCCGCCCCTCTCCCTGCAATCTCGCCCCTCAGGCCGGCCACTGGGCGCAGTTCCCGAATCCTGCGCTGCGTGCAGCACGTGCGGAAGACAGTCGCCAGACGCTGCTCTGCTTTCTGTGCCTACTTTTCTGTGCCCCGGCTTGGACGTGGCCCTCTGGCTGGCGGCGCCGGTGTGCCGTGCAGGCACGACGCATGGACGGATCCCGAGCTCCCGCTTGGAAGGCAGCTTCTTGGGACCGGCGCCGGCGCGGGTCCGCCGACTGTCCCTCTTGTGCCCCGCATTGTCCCCGAGAACGTGTGACGAGGATCGCTTTACTCCCGAGGACACCCAAATCGGGTCGGGCGACAGGGGGGGGTTAAAAAAGGGGGGGTTACGAAATCTGCTGCATGCAGCTGGTTTCGGCCTCGCCGAGGCGCCCATTCCTCGATACATGGCCGCCTCCGGCGCCGGGAGGCGCTGGGAAAATCAGCTAATGTGAGCTGATTCTCAACCCCCCCCTTTGCTATCCCCCCCTTTCGCCCGGCCCGAGAGACGAAGCGCGCGCACGGTTTGCGCCGAGGGCTCTGTGAGGCTCCACCGCTGACGAATCGTTCGGCGCTGCAGTGGCCCCGCCTCCCCCCGGCAGCTGGCCTCAGCACGGCTCGGAGCAGAAGCCAGACACCTGAAGTTTGGTTGAGTTTGATGCGGGACGTGGGAGGAGGAGGAGGAGGAGGAGGAGGAGGAGGAGGAGGAGGAGGAGGGAGGGAGGGAGGAGGAGGAGGAGGGAGGAGGAGGAGGAGGAGGAGGAGGAGGAGGAGGAGGAGGAGGAGGAGAGGAGGAGGAGGAGGAGGAAACGGAAGGGGGACGGAAACGGAGGGATATTGCTGCGAGACACTTCGGGGAGAATGCGCTCGTGCCTGGGGCGGTACCCCTTCCCAACGCCGCGGAGGTTTGGGCGGCAAAGCGCTGCCCCGAGGACGTGAACACGGTGAGCGGCGTGAGGGCTCAGGCTTCGGGGCTGCTGAAGGGGGGGGGTCGGGTCGGGATGCTCGCTAAGTCGAGGAAGCTCAAACATGGTTTAGCGAGTGGATTACTTGGCATCGCTCGGACGTGTGCATCTTTCTCTCGGCGAGGACCATCGACCAGCACTTTGGATCATCCGGGGAAACATACACGCACGACATCGAAACATGCTCGGGGAATGGGCGTCCGAGCGATGGCGAGATTAACAACGGGTCTCGCTTCCATACAGAGTTGGCGCGTTCCGTCACCTCATCAGGTGGCACGGTTCTCATGTTCGATGGTACCTTCCCAGATCCACGGATCCCTAATCCATGTAAGCGTGCTCCCGACGATGGTTGTTGATGTTTCGCCAATCGACGTGTGGGGACCGCGTCGGATAAATCGAGGTGAATGCGCATACATCGAGAGGTGAAGCCATGCACAGGGATGTAGATCCAGAGATCTCTACGGACATCTTGAGAGGATCGTGGCCGCTCGAGCGCGAGTCGAGGGATGGCAGAAGTCGTTGAGCATTTGACGATACGCAAATTTGATGGAGGGGGTGGGTGGTGGGTGGAGGGGTGGAGGGGTGGGACGAGGGGTGCTTCCTGTAGTTGTTGCGAGTTTGAGGCCCCAGGGTCATAACTGGTGAGGATGTCTCGTGTGATATCCACACCCGCCCTACCAACACGTCTGGGGTGCGTCAGGGAGGGTTTAATTCAAATGAAACGGGACGGAGGAGGAGGGGGAGGGGGATGGGGGAGGGAGAGGCAAGAGGAGGTTGAGGTGGAGTCGAGAGGAGGAGGGAGGCGGGACCAGAGTAAACCCAAGATGCATCAGCGATGCTGCTTTACGCCCGCAAGTCTCGAGCCCCCTCCTCAGAAATTCCTACAATAACTTTGTTTCATTGCTGGGAGTGCCCCCTTGAAAGACAAGCGGCCCATGGTCCCGCAATTCAGGCGAGAGCCCCGTCTCGAGACGGAGCCGCCATCCATGGTTTTGGTTGTATGAATGGCGACGAGGTTGATTTAGTCTCAGGAAGTGTCCAGTCGGAGCTCAATTTTAACAAGAGCCGCCATCAGTCTGTGCAGTGTTGTTCTTGCAGTCAACGCGCCTAGCAAGGACGCGCGCCTTCATCCAGAGTGTCCTTGTGTCCTTGCATCTGCTGTCCGTCCTTGGCCGTTTTCACTGGTCGCCTGTCGCCCAACAAATCCCAACTTTGGCCTCCAGGGGTCTTGCGTCCTTGCCACCCCGGCCGAACCGAGGTGTAAGATCGGGGTCGATTCGGACAGAGTACCCCAGTGCTCTTCGTGCTTGTTGGGTGTTCTTGTGCATCTTGGGGAAGGTACCCCTGGACGTTCTGCTTGTTCTGGCCGACGGAGGGTCTCAGGCTCTCGAGGCGTGGTCTGGCCCAGGTCCCACTGTATCCCCCCCCCCGTTCCTCACCTCCCTTCCCCTCTCACCCTTCTCGGCCCTCGCCTCCCCCCCCCCTTCCCGTGGCACCCGCGCCGCCCTGGCTCGGGACGCCCCCTCCGGGCCAGGGCCGCCCGCGCGGGGGGAGGGCCTCCCGAGCCGGCGCGCGCGCGCCCCGCCGGCAGCCCGAGGGCGCCCGGCGAGCACGAGCCCGAGGGTGCCCCCGGGCAGGCGCCTCCCCGAGGCCGCGAGGGCGCCGCCCTCGCGCCGTGGAGCTGCCGAGCACCCGGCGCGCGGCTCGGTGCCGGGCGTCGCTTGCTCGGGCGCGTGCGCGCCCGTGTCTCAGCCTCGGCATCGCTCGGGCGCGTGTGCATGTTGCCTTCGGCGAGGACAGTCGAGGAGCATCCCTTGATGATTTGGCGAAGAAGCCACGCACGAAACCGACAAAAGCACGGGGAATGGACGTCCGAGCGATGGCGAGTCTCGGCGAGGGCCGTCGAGGAGCATCTCGCGGTCGTGTTCCCGGCCCGCCGTTGTGCCGATCGGCTGCGGGCCCCGGCACTTGCCTCCTCCCCTCCCCCCCCATGGATCGAGTAGGGGATCGACTTCAGAATTGATTCACCCCAAAATTGATCTCCTCGTCGAGTCTACCCAAAAGGATGCAATTTTTTGCACGGACTCGACGAAGAGAAACCAGTTTCGGAGTACATCAATTCTGTAGTCGATCACCTCCCCCATAAAGCAGATCTCTCCTGCCCTGGGCGCCTGCTTCAAGCAGGTGGGGTCTCCCCCATAGGACGCACAGCTGCGAACGGCCGCACGGAGCAGAGGCCCGGAGCCCCCCCCCCCCCTCCCCCCGTTTTTCATCTCAACGTCGAAACGCAGAATCAGAAAGCGTTCAATTCGGACCATCGTGAGAAAAATGAGCGCGAAACCGAAAAGTACACGGGGAAAGGACGTCCGAGCGATGGCGAGATCATACGGTCTGATGGAGTCTCTCACGCAAGGTTAGGTATTCAAGTCGGTACATCTGGATTCTATCTCCTAATCTACTTCAGGTGCTTTCTACTTGAAGCAACGAGTGCTTTTTACTTTATTCCCTCCTCTTCAGGGGGCGGGCGGAAACCCAATCTAGTTCCAGCGCCTTCCTACTCCGTGTCTCAACCCACTTCTTTTGACCGATGGGCACGGTTTATGTTGAAATAGGAACCTCCCCTCCCCCGCGCATGAATGCTGGATGCTGAAAGCGAATGCGCGCGGCGCTAAGGCGAGAGCGGCTGGAAGTTTTTGAGCACGAATGCCAACGGCGCTGAAGCGAGAACCATGTTTTGAAAAACGCCCGCCGTCCATATTGCTAAGGCCTTGCGGCCTGTGCCGCCGACCCTGGACGATGACCACAACGATGGAAGAAGCATTCGGGAATGTGGGGATCAGACGAGGCTACACGAGGCCCCCAAGAGGTGCCCCCAAATCCCCACAGAGTTTTGGGAGTCTCTCGGGAGCCTCTTCAGAGCCTCCCGTGGCTTCCTGGCGGTTCTTGGGGGGCGCCTGGGGGCCTCGTGGGGGCCTTTGGGGGGGCCTCTTACAAGTTCGGGCCAGGGACCCCCCGTGTGTGTGTGTGTGTGTGTGTGTGTGTGTGTGGAATTTTGACCCGGGACCGCCCACGGGACCCCCCCCTAGCCTTACCCTTCCCGGGACCCCCCCCACGGCCGTGACGGGACCCTAGAAAAGGGGCCTCCCTTCGCCATCCTTTCGACGTTACGGAGGAGGGTCCAAGAGCTTCTTGAAGTTTCTTTGGGCCGCTCTCGGGAACCTCTGGGGGGAAGTTTTGGGGGTGCCGTTGGGTCCTTTTGGGGGGCTTCCTGGGGCTTTTCTGGCGGTTCCTTGCGGGCGCCTGGGGGCCTCGTGGGGGCCTCGTGGACTCCCTCGGGGGAGTGGTATTCTGACCTTTCGACTCAATTACGACGCTGCTCAATCTCGTTTCGGCTGTTCCGCTTTGGCTGGCGCGCTAGGGAAACGGGGGAACGGCGACGGCGGCGACGACGACGACGACGGCGGCGGCGGCGACGACGACGACGACGAGTCAAACAAAGCAGCCTCTTGCACACGCCGACAGGGTCGGCGGCGTTGGAAGAAGCTTTGAAGACGCAGGTTAGTCTCATGTTGGCCCCCTTCCTATCTGCGTAGCAATTGGAAGGTTCAGACTTAGAGGGTCTTCCACGGAGAGGCAGCCTCGGGCGGATCGCTCGGCCCGCCATGACGGAGGGCACGGATGATGTGGAGGGAATGTGAGGGCGGAGGGTGCACGGGAGGGGGACAAGGACGAGGGCCGTAGTGAACCGATCATGCATCATTGTTGGTGCTTTACGCCCGTCCGTCCCAGGCCAATGCGAGTGCTCTTTTCCCAACGGAGGGTGCCCGCGCGATCCCCGCTGGCCTGGGGCCGTCGGGTGGATGCCGGGGCGTCCAGAACTACTCCGCGGCTGATCAGCGTCCCCCCCCCCTCTCCATTGGACTCCCGAATGGCGTGCTCCAGCTTCTCTAATGACGGGGCGGGGTCACAACCCTCCCAGACGAGCAATTTCAGCCCCCCCCCAATACGAGCCATGAAAGGGCGGACGTTTGCCCAGACTCCTCAGAGCCGAACCCTCGAAGACAGCTGCAACGAGAGCCCCCACATCGGACCACCCTCCTTGTCACAGGAAGGTCTAGAGTACCTACTGCGAAGGCCTGACGGCCAGTGCCGCCGACCCTGAAGAGGACCACGTCGTCGGCGACGAAGTGGGCGGAGACGGAGGCCGTGGAAGATGAGGTGGATGAGGGGGCGAGGAGGTGGAGGAGGAGGAGGAGGAGGATGGAGGAGGAGGAGGAGGAGGGAGGAGGAGGAGAAGGAGGAGTACCTATTTTTTTTTGTTGACGCGTGCGGGTTGCATGGCACTGCGGTGCCGCCCAGACTCTGTGGGAGACGTGCAGCGGGCCCGCTGGAATCAAGTCGGGCGCGCCCCTCTACAGGGGAATGTTCAGAATTGGTCAAACACTCAGGGGACGTTCTTCTTCTTCTTCTTCATCTTCTTCTCCTTATTCTTATCATCAGCATCATCATTATTTCCATTACTACTACTATTAGTATTATTACTATTATTATTATTACTATTATTTTTATTGTTATTTTTATTGTTATTATTATCATTGTTATTATCATTATTATTAGTAGTAGTAGTAGTAGTAGTAGTCGTAGTAGTAGTAGTAGTAGTAGTAGTATTAGTAGTATAGTAGTAGTAGTAGTAGTAGTAGTAGTAGTAGTAGTAGTAGTAGTAGTAGTAGTAGTAGTAGTAGTAGTAGTAGTAGTAGTAGTAGTAGTAGTAGTAGTAGTAGTAGTAGTAGTAGTAGTAGTAGTAGTAGTAGTAGTAGTAGTAGTAGTAGTAGTAGTAGTAGTAGTAGTAGTAGTAGTAGTAGTAGTAGTAGTAGTAGTAGTAGTAGTAGTAGTAGTAGTAGTAGTAGTAGTAGTAGTAGTAGTAGTAGTAGTAGTAGTAGTAGTAGTAGTAGTAGTAGTAGTAGTAGTAGTAGTAGTAGTAGTAGTAGTAGTAGTAGTAGTAGTAGTAGTAGCAGTCGTAGTCGTAGTCGTAGTCGTAGTAGTATTATTGTTCGTACTATTCTAAACAAAGGGGTCCCGCCCCGCGCGCGGCAGGCCCCCTGGGGGTCTGGAGCAGCGCCGTCGGGATCTGGGAGGGCTGGGCGCGGCCCGCCCAGCGGCGGAGACGCTACAGAGCACTCGGTGCACGGGTCGAGAGGCGCGCCCCCCCACAACAGGAGGAGGAGGAGGAGGAGGAGGAGGAGGAGGAGGAGGAGGAGGAGGAGGAGGAGGAGGAGGAGGAGGAGAGGAGGAGGCGGGAGGAGGAGGAGGAGGCGGAGGAGGAGGCGGAGGGGGCGGAGGAGGAGGAGGCGGAGGGGGCGGAGGAGGAGGAGGCGGAGGAGGAGGAGGAGGAGGAGGCGGAGGAGGCGGAGGAGGCGGAGGAGGAGGAGGAGGAGGCGGATGAGGAGGAGGAGGAGGAGAAGGAGGAGGAGGAGGAGGAGGAGGAGGAGGAGGAGAAGGTTCAAAGTTAGTCACCAAAGATAGCCTGGGACGATCTTTCGACCATTTTCTACCATGCATGAATCTGTTTGGCGTATTCTTGATTTTTCGTCCAACATGCGCCTGAAGGGGGACATGCTCGACCTAAGAACAGCGCCTCCCTCCCCCTCTTGCCGTCGTCCCTCCTCTCCCCCCCTGGGCAGTTTGCGCTGCCTTTTTGTTCCGCCGTGGAGTGTTTGCCCCGGCCCTCGCTGCGTTGGCTTTTCGGGCCCCCGTTCGGTCCCCACGCGCCGCCGTGAGTAATGATTGGCGCTTGGCTCGAACCTCCCGTCCAAATACAGTCAAGCCTCATAGAAAGGATGAGCAACTGTTCATGGCTACCATTGCATTTTTGCACCTTCGGCCCATCCTTGGCGACTTTCTTTGGCAGACCCCGTTCGAAAAGGCCATCATGCCCTTCCAAGGCCCTTGCATCCTTACCGCGCATCCTTATTATATATATGCCTCGACTGTAGAATCCCCTCTCTTCATTCCTCATGCCTCCTCCTGGCGGTAATCCTCGTGCGAGTCCTCGTCGTCCACCTCGCACTGGGCTGCGGCTGATCCTCTCTGCCTGCCCCGGCTCCTCTGAGCACCCTGTGCACGCAGCTCTTCTTTTTCCGATTGCCCATACTACGAAGTGGTCTTTGTGTGGGATTTGTTGCAGGTCGGCTTTGACACGAGTTCGCAGATAATGAACAATCGGCGCCATGGGAAGGGAGGAAATAACGCGCGAGAGCACCTAGCTTGGCGCACCTCCCCTCCTCCGCCTCCTCCTCCTCCGTGGTCCTTCCTTCGAAGACCACAAAAAAAAGCGCGCAAGCACAAACTTTCGGCGCTCCGCGCGGATTTCTTGGAGCGTCGCTGGGGCTTCCTTGGCGACGCGTCAGGCGCCGCCCCTAACGCGCTCCGCGCGCTCAGGAGGGGGGGTGCAGCGCCGATCCAAGAAACTTCGCGAAAAGCTCCGACAGCTTAAGTGTCCATGTTGCTGCTTTTTCCTGGGTTCCTCTGTCTCTCTCTTTCCGCAGGCCCCCCTCATCTGCCTGCCTGCGAAGCACCCGCTCTTCTTCTACTGGGTGGTCGACCCGATGCTGGAGGTGGCGGTCCTCTGGGGGTGGTTGGGGTGGCTCGCATTGGCCCTGACCAGCGGCAACCACGGCATGAGGGGGATGAGGAAGGGGAGGACCAGGAGCAGGAGGAGGGGCAGCAGGCGGAGGGGGAGGGGAATTGTGGAGGAAGAAGGTTCGGAGGAGGAGGAGGAGGAGGAGGAGGAGGAGGAGGAGGAGGGGAGGAGGAGGAGGAGGAGGAGGAGGAGGAGGAGTGGGAGGAGGAGGAGGAGGAGTGGGAGGAGGGAGGAGGAGGAGGAGGAGGAGGAGGAGGAGGAGGAGGAGTGGGAGGAGTGGGAGGAGGAGGAGGAGGAGGAGGAGGAGGAGGAGGAGGAGGAGGAGGAGGAGGAGGAGGAGGAGGTGCATACGCCCTGC